AATTTCTTTTCTGCATCAGAAAATAAATGGTCAAAATCAAATGATGAAGGTTATACTCGTGGTTTTTGTCAATTTATTCTTGATCCTATATATAAACTATTTCGAGCTATTATGAATTATAACAAAGATGAATGTATACAATTATTAGAAAAATTAAATATTAAATTACGGGATGATGATCATAATAAATTAGAAGAAGAAGAAGGTGGTGAAGGATTATTAAAATATATAATGAAACAATGGTTACCAGCTGATAATGTTCCTCTTACAATGATTGCTATTCATTTACCATCACCTATTGTTGCACAAAAATATCGAGCTGAACTTCTTTATGTTTCAAGAGATGATGAAATATTTTCGAGTATTCAACAATGTAATCCAACAGGTCCATTGATGATGTACATCTCAAATATGATACCAACATTAGATAAAGGTCGTTTCTATGCTTTTGGTCGTGTCTTTTCTGGTGTGGTTCAAACAGGTCAAACAGCACGTATTATGGGTCCTGATTATGTATTAGGGAAAAAAGAAGATCTTTTTATAAATAATATTGAAAGGTATAACATTTCTTAGATGATAGAGGATTTTAAATCGATGAAATCTGTTTTTACCACTTCTAGAACAGTTCTTATGATGGGTCATAATATTGAACCAATTGAAGATGTACCCTGTGGTAATATTTGTAGTCTTATTGGTATTGATAAATATTTAATTAAAACTGGCACAATTACAACCTATGAGAATGCACATAATCTTCGTGCAATGAAATTTTATATTAGTCCTGTTGTACGTGTTAATGTTGAACCAATAAATCCAATCGATTTACCAAAATTAGTCGAAGGTTTAAAATATTTACAGAAATCAGATTCTATCGTTCAAGTAAATTATTATTTTTATTAGTTATTTTATTTTCGCTTTTTTTTGTGTCAAGTGTGGTTGTGAAGATTCAGGAGAATGTTTTGTGGCTGGTACTGGTGAATTACATTTAAAAATTTCATTGAAAAATCTTGAAGAAAATTATGCTGGTATTCCAATGAAAATTTCTGATCCAATTGTATCCTATCGTGAAACAGTATCTGAAGAATCAGAAATAATGTGTTTATCAAAATCTCCTAATAAACATAATCGTTTCTATATGAAAGCTCAACCAATGCCTTATGGTAATCATGATTTAATAAACATTATTCATCTAGATTTTGTTTAGGTTTATGCGATAATATTGATAAAGATAAAGTTACTTATGATCAAGAATTTAAAGCACGTGCTCGATATTTAGCTGAAACATACAATTATGATGTAGCTGACGCACGTAGAATTTGGTGTTTCGGACCCGAAGGAACTGGACCAAATCTTCTGATAGATTGTACTAAAGGTGTACAATATTTAAATGAAAAGAAAGAGCATTCTATTCTTGGTTTTCAATGGGCTACAAGAGAAGGTATACTGGCAGAAGAACAGGTTCGAGGTGTTCGTTTCGATATTCATGATGTTACTGGCACGACTGATGCTATACATTGTGGTGGTGGTCAAATTATCCCGACTATTCGCCGTGCAATGTATGCATCAATGCTTACAGCTAAACCACGTCTTTTTGAACCGATGTATTTATGTGAAGTACAAGTATGTTGAAAAAGAAACAAACAAAGAGAAAGTATTTTAGTTATTCAATTTAGTGCTCGGAGGTTAATGTTGGTAAAGTTTATGATGTCTTAAATCGCCGTCGTGGCCGTGTATTTGAAGAACATCGTATTCCTGGAACACCTATGCTTCTTGTGAAAGGTCATTTACCTGTTAATGAATCATTTGGTGAATATTTTAATAGGCAAAAATTTCCTCTAATTCATTTTGTCTTTTACTATTAGATTTGACTACTGATATTCATTCAAATACAGATGGGCAAGCATTTTCACAATGTATATTTGATCATTGGCAAATAATAAATCAAGATCCATTTGATGAAACCTCTCAAATTCGCCAAATTATCAATACTATTCGAAAACGTAAAGGATTGGAAGAAGGTATTCCATTATTAGATAAATATCTTGACAAATTATAAATCATATATTATCTATTCACGGACAGTATCATTTTTTTAACATCTTTTTTTGTTGTTATTTTTCTATTTTATATCGTGAGGGTGAACGAAGAGTAGTTCCCACCCACCCTCTCATTTTCAAGATCAAATTACAGTACTCGAGAAACTTTGTCCTTTTTTAAAGATACAATTCAATTCGAGCAGACTGTACACAGTTTCTGTATAATAAATAACAGACGATAAAAAAATTTAATTTTATTTATGTCTGTTCAGATTTGAAAAAGTCGAGAAGAAATAGAAATATTATTTTGAACAAATATTGAGATTGCATGTGTCAATGAGAATATTAAATTCTTTATTTAATTGCATATTCTCACAAAACAATTTTACTTAATTTTAATGTTAGAAACCATTGATTGTTTTTCATCCGATACTATTTTATTTTATACTAAGGAATGATTGAATCATTACAGATGAAAAATATCATTTTTTGATCGCCGTTTGATCAACTTTTTCTTCTCCGAAACATTTGTTTATTAATTATTTTTTGTTTACTTTAAAAACATTACTATACAGAAATTTTTAATATTATTTCCGAGGATATTTGCACTTTTTTTTGTTATTGATTTATAGAAATATTTATTTGTCGTTCTCTGAATGATTCGTATTACTCAATGCAAAAAAAGAAATTGAAGAATCAAATTTTTCTTTGCCATTGTAAAATCTTTGTTATTGATTCTAAAGATGCTCTTAGCATGAAAGTTCTTCAAGAACTATAATTAACAGATATTTGTAGGATGTTTCCCTCTTATCTAAACAACAAGATATTAGTTTTATTAATAATTACTATGAATAATGTTTCTTCATTACGTATTGGTTTTATTTCTAATGCAACATTTATCGCAAGATTTATTGATCAAACATTATCGAACATAAGTTGTATGCAATGTACATGTACTGCTTTAATCAATTCAGCCATTGCATGGAATTGTATCACAATTAATAATACATGTCAATTAATCAAAAACTATTCTTTAACTGATATAGGAATAATGACAAATAATTATGGAATTTTTTTCTTTCAACAATTTCCATTTCAACTAACAACTAATCAAACAAACGAAGAGACCACGAACTCAATTGACATAATCGCGATCACTGAAACAAGTATGTCTTAGAGATAACCTTTCTTAAACGCATCATTTACAGTTAATTAATAAGTCAATAAGAGAGAGAGAGATTTGAATCGATCGTTTCATTGATTTCTTTGAAAAAATAATTGTTAATAATAAAAATAATTTCTTTTAGTCCCATTTTCAACAACAATTGGTAAGTACAAAATATATTCTGTTAAATTAGAAGAAATTTTATTCATTTTAAAGAGACACTTAGTCGTCTGACACATCCAAATGATGCTATTTTTGGAATTTGTGATACAATTGTTGGCGGAGACAGTACACCAAGTGATATATCTGGTAGCAACCAGTGCAATTTCTATCCGGGTGAAATGCCCGCAAATGCGATTGATAATGATGAATTAACAAAATATACTAATTTTGGAAATGGTACAATTTCTACATCGAGTGAAACACAAGGATGCTATACAGGATTCTATGTGACACTATCAAATAGTCGGTCTGTACTTAAAGGAGTTCAATTTCGAACAGGAAATGATAATCCAAATAGAGATCCAATAACAATCACGATAGAAGGAACTAATTCAACTTTATTAACCATAGGAAATAGTTGGATTTTGATTTATTCCGGATCTAGTGGTCTTGATAATGATCCAGGACGATATGAATTAGGTGTACAACAAACATTTAATAATACAATTGCTTATACAAGTTATCGATTATTAGTAACAACTAAAAGAGCAGCAGGAGTAGCTGTTCAATATTCTGAAGCTTTTTTATTTGGATAGTGAAATTAAGATTTATTATTCCTGAATTTTTAGTCAAGTAAAAAACGTCTGAATATTATTATGTAATCATTTAATGATGATGTGGGTATGAGTGCTCGTATTATATCAATCATATACCCAAATCCAGATTCACGATAGTTTGAAAAAACGTTTATTCTTGAACTTTCAATATTTTGATATACAAAAGAATGTCTTCTTTCTAAAGTGTAAAATAAAACATCATTCATAGTGAATGTGAGTGTGGGCAATGAATGAGAAGAATATATACACACACACACAGGCACCCTCCTAGGGTTGATTTTTTCTAAGTTGATTATTTATTCTTTTTATTGATGAATGGAACAAAGTCTTTGACAAAAAAAATTACTGGAAGATGAGGATGAAAAACTGATAATTAACTTCATCCGCAGATCCTGAAATTTATTTTCTAAGGCGCATCTATTTGGCAATTGTATATTTAAAATGTTATTAACGATGCATCTAAATGCATAGAATATTTGAGACAACTACTTATTGTTCACTCTTTCGAGGTTCATCACCCAAATGCGTCGAAAATCATGATTAGGCGGTAAAGATTTTTTCGCAATGTCAACTGCGGTTTGATAATTTGAACGAGCTTTCAAGTAATTACCCATTTGCTCATAGACATATCCGATATTGTTGTAGGACATACCCATGTCTGGATGATTCGGCCGAAGTGATTTTTTTCGGATCTCATGAGCTTTCTCCATGCATTCAAGTGCACTCTTGTTGTCACCCATTGCATGATGTACTCCAGCTATATTGTTGTAGCACATTGCTAGATCTGGGTGATAAGGTGTAAGTGATTTTTCCTGTATTTCAAGAGTTTTGTTGTAATATTCCATTGCTTCTGGATAGTTACCCGTGTTATAATGTTGAAGGCCGATGTTCCCGTACGTCTTGGCTAGATCTGGATCATTCGATGGTAGTGAGCGCTTTCCGATTTCCAGAGCTTTTTTCGAATACTCAAGGAAGCTCTTATTGTCATGCATCTTTTCATATATTCCAGCAATATTGTTGTAGGATACGCCTAAATCTGGATCGTTGGGTGGAAGTGATTTCTTTCGAATTTCTAAGGCTTTTTTGTAGTAGTCGAGTGCTTTTGTATAGTCACCAAGATCATAGTAGACCTTACCGACGTTGTGATAGGTAGGTGCTAAAAAAATATGATCCGGTGAAAATAGTTTACGTTGAATAAGCAACTGCTTCGCATAGAGAGCAAGTGCTTCTTTGTGGTCTCCATTCGCACAATACGCCGTTGCAAGTTCGAAATAAATCGTAGATTTAGCTTCATCATCATCGGTTTGATCAAGTAGAGTCTGAAATATCTCCTTCGCTTTGTCTGTATGTCCCATTTTCTTTACGAGAAAACCTAACCGAAACCACGGGTTTTCTGTTGGATAGTTGGTTTTTCGTATGTGATTGGTGAGTTTACGGAGGCCTTTATCGTCCTCATTTGTTAGAGTCAGATTCACTTCGTACAGTCGTTCGTGCTCTTTTGCTTTGGTTATGTCCCCAATCCGGAAAATAGAGTTCATAGAGAAGAGAACTTCATCTTCGCCTTTCAAGGCGCTAACCGAGTCGATCGAGGCAAACGCTGTTGTAGCCTTACGTGGATTGATGTTCATCACATATAAAATACCAACTTCTGATGGATTTTTCCGCAACGATAAAAGAGCGAAGTTCATTGACACTTCACGCTGTTTACTTGTCGATAAGAAGTTAGTGAAAGCTATGAGACCACCTTTTGTTTCTCGAATTTTCTCCATATCTACTTCAGATACACATTGTCCACGGTAGACAGTAAATGGTTTGTTGCTTGATGTTCGAGGAAATTCTTTGCTATGCAATTGTTCCAGTTCTTGATGAAGATCCTTGATAAAGAAGGCTATTTTGAGGATAATATCGATTTCAGTTAAACGAAGAGCTCGATTTAACATTGGATAAAGAAAAATTTCTTTTGTATACCACCAGATTGCTTGTTTTGATTGATAGTTCTTCGCCATATCCTTGATATTATCTAATTCTGTCTCGTTGTCTGTGAAAGCACCGCGACAATATTCAAGATATTGATCGAGGTGTTTTCGCTCGAACTTGATCGATAATATATTTTCTTTAATCAATTGTGTGTACATAAAAAGTGGCTCTAGTTGATCAAAGTTCTCCGAAGGCACATCTTTTGTCTTAACCAAGCTGAATGACACGCAGTTCTGTTCACATGTCTTTGCCGTTTCTTTAAGTGCTTGACAAAGTGACTCAATGTCTGTGAATAGGCCGTAAATTTTGCACCAAATCCTCAGCCAGTCTTCTTCGCTGTTATCAATAGTATTATTGTAGAATATGAAAATACTGTTCACCTGAGACATGTCATGAATACGAGGCACAAATTTCGGGCCCAGTGAACCCGATACGACTATATTCACTTTTTCTTTAATTTGTTCTTTAATAAATTGAATACATGCTTCTTCAGTTTTGAATATGTTGATTGACTTCACGACGCGATGTAGATTCGTTCTTATGTTCTTGAAGTTGTCGGACGTTTCCTCGACGGAATCATCGAGCCATACTAATACACTATTTTCCATGCGCTGAATACCAGTTTGATTTTTATGTGTAGTTGCCATCTGCAATAACATTCAAACAACGAAATAAAATGAAGATAACATTTAGAAGCGCACCTTTTGTATACCGTTCGTATCTATACTTTTCTCTTACGTTGAAATTTCACAATCTGTCTGGATGCTCTCATAGTCGGAATCAAGTCTTTGTATCCCATTACTCGAAAACATAAGGGCGAAGAAGAAGGTAGAGTCGCAAAAGCTCAACCATACGAACAGAGAATTCTTAGCAAGCTTAATACCCTTGAGAAAGGTGTGAGTGTTGGTATTAGTGTGTGCGGGTGGGTTAATAAAATAGAATAACTACATTCGGATCCATCGTCTCTCACCCACACTCTCAACCTGTGGTTGTTGCGAGTCTTAACAAAACAACATAATTCGTTAATGCTTCTGACATAGCACTCCTCAATTTTTCGACACTACACTAACTATTATGCTCGTCCATCCGCTTTGTATCCAATATTCATCAACCCATTGCAATTGAAATGCAATTCTCTAACTCATGTATAGCTTCCATGTTTACTACTATATATCTTGAGAGTGGGTATGCGCTTTTCGTATTCTAACACGGACACCCACACTCACTCACCCAATTGAAATAGAGGAAATTTTATTTATTGCATGCTAAGCATAAGTGCTTTTGAAATAGAAATTCTTACCTTGGCTTTAATATCTTATGCGTAAAATAATGCAGTTTTTCCTGGGAATAATAATAACTACGACTCGTCCTGCCAGTCAAAGTTGTTGTTTTTTCACGTCTGAAGCAGTGAAGTACTGTGGAAAAAAAAGCTTCTGAATACAGACCAAGCAAGAAGCCATGCGCTTATCTCTAATTTTTCTGTAGAACACGTAAAAGTATAATGTGTAAATTCAGTTATGTCTTGTGTTTGCTGCTGAAAAGAAAGAAAGAATTTCGCTTCTAAAGCAAAACAACACATCAATTTTTTTCTAACTACAATGCTTTTTTAACAAATCCTTCAAAAGCTGTGATTTTCGGCCGTTGTTGTAGATGTCCCGTTAAACCATCGTTGAGGGTGTGGGTGTGTAAGTAAGCATAATAAGAACACCCACATTCATACTCATACCGACACCCACACACACACCCATTCTTTTTTTGTTTTTCTTTCTCTATTCTGTTTTTGTTCTTTATTCGAATAAGATACAACGTGAAGAGAGAGTCCTCTCATAGTGGGATTTTTCTCTTGAGTCATTCTTCGAGAATAATCTCATACATTACTCATAACAATAAAATGTTCTATGGTTTTTTTCATACATTCAGTGTGTTGATTTAACAAAAAGCTGTTGTATTGCATTGTCAACTAGTTTTTCTTTCCAAGGAAAGAATAAAATTAACATTATATATGCGTGTGTAGGAAAGAATGAAAAAAGCTCGTGATAGTTGATTTTTTATTAACAACAAGCATTTACGCACTTTTCATTATTTCAGCAGCTCGATATGGCGACTAATACAAGTTTATACGATGCAAACAAACAAAGTGAGTACTTAAAACGAAAAATAAGGCTGTAACGGATTAGTTTTCGTGCTTCTTAATATCTTTGCTTATTTTCTTTTTATATTTCTGTATAAAAATATGAAAAAAAGATATGTAATTTTGGCTTATTTCCGTTAGATTTTGAGATATGAGAGGATCGATGAGTTCTTGCAACTTATTTCAAATCGATTTATCCTTGAGAAAGTTTGCAACTGAACCAGAGATGAAAGATATGCCGATAAAAAAAGAACTACATCGACATCCATAAGTCAATAACTATTAACATACAGATAAATTTTTGTTTTTCTAGAGACTACCCAAGCGGTCAGAGCTTCAACATATCGAAACTTCGATCTCGAAAAAAGAATTGTTGAGAAAGGAAATGAGCCAGTACTAAATTTGAATAACAGAACTTTAACTGATCAAGACATGATAATTGTGGCCGATGCTTTACGACAACAACAAGTAAGATAATTATTAATTCACTTACTATCATTTTACTCGTTTTGATTATTCAAGTGAGTGTATTTTCACTTAAATCTATGTCTTTCGTTAACAAACAAGATCTTAACTTTTCCTTTGTCGTTAGAAGTATGAAAAGGATTTTGTAATTTGATAAAATGTGCATGCAATTTATTTCAAACCAGAAAAGCTAAATTAGTTGAAGTCGATTTGATCTGAAATAAGTCGAGAGCATACTTGTTTTTTTTTAAATTTAACTGCAGTATTCAGAGATTGTTAGTTCTAATTTTCACTGTGCTCGACTTGTTGTATGTCTTTGTCGATAGTGATACTATTATTTAGCTCAGCCAAGCGAACCTCCAGCCTTATGCGAACGAATAAAATTATTATAATCAAGTTCGAAACGACAACTTACAATTTATTTGTATAGGAATTTAACTTTAGCCTATGAAAAAATCATAGTTACTGTCGCAAATTTTGATATAATTTTAGACAGTTACAAAGAACTCGGCACAAGCATTGGTATTAGATCAAAATAAGGAATGGGCTTGTAACCAATGCACATTATTGAATAAATTAACAGACACACAATGTGATGCTTGTGCAGCTGCACGTCCACTCAATATACAACTCCCTGCTGTCAAGAATGAATGGACTTGTGAAAAATGCACTCTTTTGAATAAGCCATCAGACACAATATGTGACGCTTGCCTAGCTCCGCATCCTATTTCACTGACTGCTTCGTTAACCACAACACAAAATGGAACTTGTACAAATGATGAAGAATCATATTATTTCCATGATAAAATACTGGTTTGTATAATATTGAGACTTTCATATATATAT